AGAATAAAATGAAAAATGTATTTTTAGGACAATTTGTGGTGTTTATCAACTGAATAGCGCCGTCACATGCAATCAAACGCCTGTTTATACGTTTTAAACACCAATTTGTTGCCAATTCTTATCATTCATATCGCAGATATTGTGGCGAAAAGTTAATCGAGAATTAAGTTTTGTTTTCTCGACTAAAACAAGGTTTTGCTTCAAATTTGTTTACTATTAATGTTATCATTCGGCGGAAAAGTGGGGATTCATAAAGATTTCAATCATTGAAACTAAGAAAACACTTGTCTTTCCATCAGATTTTGATTTTAATTATACTTTTCTAACTTTATTTTGTTGAATATTTCTTCCGTTATTAACTGTAAAATAAATTCCGATAAGAATTTGTTTAACAAATGGTATATAAAAATTATAGAATTTATTTATTTATTTAATACAATCGCAGGAATTCTTGAAATTAACTCAAGTATTGTAAATATTTGGACAAAAAATTTTAAAAAAAGTTTAAAAAAGTTTTTTAGATTTGATTTTGTATTGAATTAATTGTGAATCTGTTATATAATTAAACAATTTTGTGATTATTAGGCAAACAATTCGGACAATAAAGAGACTGAACAGCAAGTGGTGACCAAAGAGGAGACGGCCAGCGATACAGTCGCCGCAGTGTCTGCAGAACCGGTGCCACAAAATGTTGAACAAAAACCTGAATCAGAATCGGCGGCCACTGTTGCCGAACCCACACCTCAACCCATAGATGCCTCGCAAACAACTGCAGCGGAAGTGACACAACCGGCACCCGAAGCACAGGAACAACAGTCAACGCCAGCGCCTGAGCCCACAGTTCCCGTACCCGCACCGCGACAGTCGAGTCCCACACCACAGGCATCACAAGAACAGCCGACTCCCGCACCCGAACAGCAGTCAACGCCCGCATCAGAAGAGCCTACGTCAGCACCAGAACCAGTAGTTCCTTCAGCAGAAGCACCGGTTCCAGCGCCGAGAACAGCGAGTCCTCCCCCACCGGAACAGACAACTCAAGGGCCAGCGGAACCAACTTCTGCTCAGTCAACGGATTCAACGCCACAACAGATCAGTGAAACACCCGAACAATCAGTCCCTCAACAACCGGAAGCCCAGTCGACAGAAACTGTGGCATCGATTCCACCGGCGGAACAAACAACTGAAGCTGAAGTCCATGTCGTCTCATCGCCTGAAAATGTCTCACAAACGGAACAAATAGCAGAACAACCGACGCCTCAAAGTGAACAACCCGTGGCGCCTGTCCAACAGTCAGAACAATCAGTTCCCGCCACAGAACAAGTGGTCCCATCGCCACCAGAAGTGGAGACAACAGAGACGGTAACAAACGAGACAATAACCGAAACTCAAATCCCACCGCAAG